AGAAAATTGGGAGGTGGCTTCTAATAGAGAAACTCATGGAATCAGAATTGGAAGAGATCTTATGCCACGAATATCAGATTGAGATGAAACCTTGGAGAGAATCTACTTTGATCTCTTCATTTTACAGGTAAGGAAACTGAGGTCTAGGGAGTTTATTTGACTTGCTCAAGGTCAAACAATGAGTTAAGGCACAGCTGGAATTAGAATTTAGGTCTATATTCTCCAGGTCAGAGTTCTCTCTCTCTCTCTCTCTCTCTCTCAAAAATAAATATTTTATAATCAAAACCAAATGCTGTGAATCTATAATGACCAAGTTTGACTCTAAACAAGAGATAAGAGAAGGCATTTCTTTGTAGGGGTGGGGAACTATATGTGTAAAACACTACATGTGATATCCATTCCCCCTCCCTCCAATGTTTGTTGGTTGTGCTGAACAATTTGTTTTCCTCTTTTTTATTCTTTGTTATAAGTCAAGTTCTTATTTTGACTCTGTTTAGACCGTTCCACCATTTCTCAGCAGCCTCTTCACCCTGAAAGATCCCTCTGCCTCAACAGTCTCCCCTCTAATGGGTGAATTCCTCCCCAGAATGTCCATTTTGAGGAAGTGCTCTAGACAGCCATGCTTACTCTTCCATTCCACTCCTAGCTTCTTCTGCCTCTTTGGACTTTACCACGGCAGAATGGTAGTACCTTCTCTTCCCCCCCCCCCCTCAAGGCACTTTTCAGCTTCCTTTTATGTTTTGTCTCCCCCCTTAGAGTGTCAGCTCCTTGGGGGCAGGGACTACCATTCCTTTTGCTTGTATGTGTATTTTGTTCAGTTGTTTTCAGTGGTGTCTGACTCTTTGTGACCCCCAGTTGGGGTTTTCTTGAAAGAGGTACTGAAGTGGTTTGCCATTTCCTTCTCCAGCTCATTTTTCAGATGAGGAAACTGAGGCAAATAGTGTTAAGTGCCTTGCCCAGGGTCACCCAGCTAGTAAGTGTCTGAGGTTAGATTTGAACTCAGGAAGATCATCTTTCAGACTCCATGCCCGGTACTCTATCCACTTTGACATCTGGCTCACCCTCCCCGCTGCTTTCTAAGTGCTTGACTTGGGAGGTAGAAAGGAAGAGATATATACTGAGAAATATAAATGTTGAAAACACTTCAAGAAAAATGTAAATAAAATAAAATAGATGTTTTATTGATATTTTTAAGAATCTCAAACACTCCCTAGTGATTCTTTCTTCTCCAGCCCTTCTGGGGCTCTGTCCTGGACCTGGAGGTGTTGAATACAAGAGCTCAAATTGCTTTGGACCAGCAGAGGGCAGTAAAGTATTACTGAGAATTGTATATTCACCCCCATATATACCACCCCAGGCAGAGTGGTAGTCTGACCTTAACTTAGAAAGGCACCTGACTCCTTGACCATTAGGTTCTGGGGATGCTCCGGGAGAGTATTCTTGGAAGAATTGATGTCTGGCCAGGCTGGACCAAGGTCAGAACTTACAAGTTAGTGGCTGGTTTCCCTCTCCTCCCCCAGCTCTGGGAAGCAATTCATTTCCTGTCCTTGGACATCCACGGCAAATGTCCCACCCCCTCTAGTGGATTCACCTTGAAAGAAAGTCAAATGGCCTTTTCCTCTTTCCCAGGAAGTTGTGAACTAGGCCCATTGTTAGGGGCTACTTTACAAGTATTCAATCAAAAGACCGTAGGGGCTTCAGTTTTTTGCTCAGGTATCTAATCTTATCAGCCCCTAAGGTTACTTGACAAGCGGTCCACTCCCTAGACCTAGGTCTCGTGAACTTCAGAGAGGTTTGGGGAGATAATTGGTTTTTCAATGATTCAATCAAAAGAGAATCTCCTGCTCCAGACTTCAAAGGGCTCCTAAGGTGGAGTGTTAGCTGGGAGGGTGTGGGGGTACTTGCAGCTAGTTTTTAAAAGACTTTGAGTTTACACCTAACATTTGGTAACATCTGAGTTCTACCAATGTGTGTGTGTGTGGGGGGGGTGGCTCATGGATCTGGATTCCAAAAGGCCCTTCAGAAAACATCCAGTCCAACCCCCTCAATTTACAAAGGAAGAAACTGAGGCTCAGATAAGCTGAGTAACTTTGCTGAAGATCCCCCAGCTAGCAAGTGACCAGAATTGGGATGGGGAAGGTAGTAATGAATGAACTCTTTCAGAGTTATCAGATAATTTGAAGTGTGCTGACCTTACAATTCATTTGTAATCCCAAGGACAGAATTGTCTTTGAAATCTGACCCACCACCTGAAATATGGTAGATAGTTCTGAAGACCTTACCCCCCCCCCCCACCCACCCACCTGTGTGGCCCTAGTAATAATACCATTCTCCTCTGAGTCTCTTTTCCCCTCGGTAAAATATTCAAGACGATCAAGAAAATCTTTTCTAGCTAAAGAATTCGGAGATTTTAAGAATCACAGGGTGTAGGGGCCAGGGTCTGGTGGTTTAGGGAACCACTTGGCTAAGATCTCACTGGTAGTAGTAGCCTCTCACATTTATGTAGTGCTTTAAACCTTTCACATTTACATAGTGCTTTACTCAGGACAACCACGAGAAATAAGTCGTTTAAGGATTATTACCCCCAGGGTACCAGCGGAGGAAACTGAAGCTCAAGAGGTTAAAGGTCAGACAGGTAGAAAAAAAAGGGGGGGTTAGATGCTATATTAACGGGGTGGGTGGATTCCAAATAAAATTCTGTTCTAGCGCTTACAATTTAATTATAAAGTTAATATACCTCAAACAACGGAACTCTGAAAGTGCCCATTCATTACCATCTCCGTTATCCCACCCTTGCTACTTGCTAGCTGTGGGAATTCAATCTTACGAGTTCTGATCTCAAATTCACTGACTTCTCTTTCCAGGACATCGGCTACTTCTGCGAAGGGCGTGGAAGGCTGTATTGCCCTGGGTTTGCAGAAATCTCAGCATAGCACCTGACTTGTTTCTGGATGTGGAACACCGGGCAATTCTCCCTCAGTTCCTCCACCCCCTTCCCCCCCCCCCCCCCCCCACCGCCACGCCCGTCTAATGAATGTCTAGCATTTAGAATTCTAGAATTCTAGACTCTTGGAGTCTGGAAGGGACCATGGAAGTCATCTTGCCTAACTTCTCAGTTAGAAGACTTGCTTAATCAGCTTCACTACCACGACATCTTCTCCTCCCCCGCCTCATGCACTCCACCCCCCACCCCCCCGCCCAAGTGAAGCATAGTAGTTTGGTGCAAAGAACACCATCGACCTTAGAGTCAGAAAAATGAATGCTTCCCAATTTGGGCTCTACCGGTACCTCATCTCTTTAGATCTTTCTTTGAGCCTGTTTACTCCTTTGAAAAAAAAAAAGGGTGTGTATATCCTGCCTTGCAGGCTTCATCCGTGTGTTGTGAAGATGAGGTAAGAGCAGATGGGAGAAAGGCTATTGTAAACCTGAGAGGGCTGTAGGAAACGCTGACATTTTGGTAGCACTTTAAGGTTAATGTAATATTTTCCTTTCTAAGCAGCCCTTGACAGTTAAGGATTTTTACAGATTTCCCCATTTTACAGATGGGGAAACTGAAGCTCAGGGATAGGAAGTAACTTCCCCGGAGTGATAGAAACAAGAGTCAGAGCTAAGAATCCCGAACCCAGGTCTCCCGTTTTCCTTCTTTTCATTACTCCGCTACATGATGCATTCCCACCTGAATAATTACTATATAAGAGTAACATATTATTATGGCTAAATACCTGACCTTGGGCAAGTCATTTCTATTCTCGGCTTCAGGTTGCTCTATTCTATTCCACACCCATAATTATCAGAGGGGCTTGGACTCTGTGTTCCAAGGTTCTTCCAGTTTTGACTATTCTGATTCTGGATGCTGTGTGCGTGTGTTTGGGCAAGGGGGTGGGGAAGTGAAGGGAAGGAAAGTTTCCTGACACCTTCTGTGCTCCCCTTTCTCCTTTCCGTCCCAGGAGAAGATCAAAGGCCCAATTAAGGAGGTGCTAAGAGTAGAAGCCGGAATTTCAGGTGTCAGTCCCCAGGACTAGGAGAGTGGGTCCCAGTGGATCGAGGGAGGGATGGAATTGTAACGACTCACCTAAACTGGGGAAGAAGAACGTGGTGGTGTCTTGGAAAGGGACCTGGACTTGGAAGTCCGGAGCTCTGACTTTATATCCCCGCCCTAACACTTACTAGCTGTGTGACCTTGGGAGTATACCTTCACTGCTTTGAAATTGTTTCCTCATCTCTAAAATGGGGGTGGTCATACTTTTCCTGTTTACCAGGGGTATTGCCATGGTGGTGTTTTGTAAAACTTAGAGCGCTAATGGGAGCTGAACCGAGCGAATGATCTTGGGTTAGGATCGCCAGAGGGCGCACCCGAATCGTTGAGAAGTCAATTCGGATCCACGCAGGGCAGCGAGGACTTTGGGCTCTCGCCCGCTCCGGCTGCAGCATTTAATTAGGTCACGGACGTCTAGAGTCCCAAGCAGGCTGGGTAGGGGATAAAAGAAGCCCCTAGAAGGCGTGAGCCCAGTCCAGTCGCCCCTCCCACGCCCTTAGGGCAGAACTGGCCCTTGCATCCAGCCTCCGCCTACACCTGCCGGGCTCAGGTGCTAGAGGGGTTGGCGGCCGGGGGTGGGGGAAGGAGGGAGGTGCGACAGCCGCCACGTGTCCCGGCGCAGGAAACTTGTGAACTCTCGAGCCAGTTTTACAACAAGAACGAACACCAAGAGAACCACGCTTTCATTGAGCACCTGTTCCATCAGCCAAGGTCCTAGTCTGGGCAGAGGTCGGGATGTGACCGGGCTACAGGACCAGTGCTCGGTTCCGAGCCACGCGGACCCGGCAGGTCCCAACTCAGCACCTGCCCCGGAGGCTCTGAGGGCGGGGCCTGAGGATGTCTCGGCTGCTGATTGGCTTAGAGGTGACAAGCGGGCGGGGCGATCCCGCCTCCTGCCACTCTGGGCTCAGATCCCCTTTATTAGGAAGTTCCCGAGGCTGGCAATTTCAGACTGGCGTGCGAGAGCGGAGTAGCTTTAGTTTCCAGTCCCGTATCCCAGGCGCAGTGGTCTGCGATCGAGCCCTAGCCCCGGAATCACCATGCCTCGCTCCTTTCTAGTCAAAAAACATTTCTCCACCAGCAAGAAACCCAACTACAGCGAGCTGGAGAGTCAGACAGGTAAGGCACCGAACTGGAGTGGACAGTAGTGGAGGGATAAGGGAGGGAGAGGTTGGCCAGGAATAGGACCAACCTTAAGTAGACAGTGGGCGAGGTTGAGGAAGAGGAGACACCAACCTCTGGGAGCTCCTGTACCCAGTGGGATGGAAACATCTGGGCACAGCTGGATGAACTCTGGGTGCCGGCAGAATGAGCTAGCGGGGAAGTCCTGGAATGACTTGGGGATAGGAAAAAAGGGGGTCTTGGGAGTAGAAGGGTTTCGAGTTAGGGTGGCTTTTGCTAAGATGCCAAGGGGAAATGATTCCCTTAAATTTTTGGAGCTTGGGGTATCATTCAGTCTTCATGGGAAAGGACCATTTAAGAGAAGCCTAGGACTGGGGAGGGCTAGGACTGTGATGGGAGATAGATCTGGGAGGAAAGGGTCCCTTTAATCTGGAGATGATGTATCCTGTATAACCCTCTTCTTTCCTCTCTTCTTTTTCACACTTCCAGTGATTGTGTCTCCCCACTTGTATGACCAATCCTACCCGATGTTGGCCATTCCAGCACCAGAGGTCCTCAGTCCAGCAATGTGTTACCCTCCACTGGTCTGGGATAGTGGGCTGCTCTCTAGCTTCTTTACTCCCATGCCAGCGGCTGCTTCTGGACCCCCAGAAGAGCCTAAGGCCCTGGACCTGACTTCTCTGTCCAGTGATGATTATGACAGTGGCAAGGGATCAGATCCCCCAAGCCCAGTCTCCCCTGAGGAAGAGGCAGAGAAATTCTCCTGTGGTCAGTGCCCTGAATCCTACACCACCTTGCCTAGCCCCTCGAAACACCAGCAGCTCCAGCAAAGTGAAGATGCCCAGCCTAGAAAGTCCTTCATCTGCAAGGTCTGTGAGAAGGAGTATGTGAGCCTTGGTGCCCTCAAAATGCACATCCGAAGCCACACACTTCCTTGTGTCTGCAAGATTTGTGGGAAGGCCTTTTCCCGGCCCTGGCTGTTGCAGGGTCACATCAGAACCCACACAGGTAAGTGACCTATATAATGTCTTCTATCCTATACTCTTTTCCTTCTTCATACATGTTTTAGGATTATAGGATTTCAGTATATGATTTCAGGTGGGGCCTTGAAACACAACTACATTGTTGGGAATTCAAGGACTCTTAGAGATCCATTAACTCAACTCCTTCATTTTTTTACATATGGGGCGTATGGGGCAGGTTCCATGCGTTCCCACAATAGTTTTGTGGAGTTAAGTGGGACAGCTGATGTTAGCCCTGTTAATGGGTGAGGGGTGGGGGGATGGCTTGCCTAAGGTCACAGAGCTTAATGCCTTACTCATACACGTGTAATTTTGCTGAATTTTTTTTTCATTCATTCATTCATTCATTGATCGATTTTATCCCTATGACTAGTAGCCAGGCCTTGTGAGAGAACAATGTTTCAAGTACCTGGAGGGATGAGAGGGTACTGAAATAGGCTTGATGCTGTCAGCAACAACAAACACTTATGAAGTACTTACTGTGCACCGAATTTCAGGGTAGTGGCTAGGGAGATAGAAAGTGATCTTATTGTCTCATTGTATCCTGTTTTAATTTGCCATTCTGCCCTGGGAGAGGCCTCCTTTGGGTAACCAAGTTCTCTCCCATCTCAGCCATATGGGAAAATGGGGTTTTGGATGTGTGAGAGTACTCTTTAAGAAGGGAGACAGATGTTTAGCCACCTACCTGGCCCAAAAGTGGGTTTGGTGAAGGGCTCAGACCAGGAAGTTCCCCCTCCTCATTGTTCCAGCTTCTCCCTTCTCTCACCCATCCCCCCCTCACTGGGGCTTTTATATGCAAAGAGGCCTCACCCATTCCAGCATCTGGCCAACTTGATATTGTGGGAAGAGCTACTTAACCTGGGATACAATCCCATACTGGATCTGTAAAATTTATTAGCAGAGTGACCTTAGGTAAGTAATTTCCCCTCCTCTGGGCCTCAGATTCCTCCTCTGTAAAATTAGGAGGTTGGACCAGATGACTTCTAAGGTCCCCTAAGATCCTATGATTCTACTGTCTACCTGGTGAAGCCTTAGATACTGGGTGGGGTAGGGGGGAGACTATCAGTTCTTAAGGAGCCCACTCACCCCCCCCCAGATTTCCTCTACTCATTTTTTAAGGGACATTAATTCAGTTTGGAAGCCAAAAAATCCTACTACAAAGCTGCTGTTGAAATGCATAATTTCAAACCTTGATTTTCATTGTCTGCTTTAATGGCAGCTTTGGGGGATGGGGGACAGTGAGGGCTGGTGGAAGGAAGGGTGAGCAGGTGCTGTGATGGAGCAATGTCTGTGCACCTGTTACTGTGGGCCGGGCAGCTGCTGGGCCCAGGGTGCCTTCCCCTTTTAATCCAAGAAGTATCACATATACAATGCAGCCTTCCCCTGCCTTTATACTCCACACAGGGCTGGGGCAGCCTTGCCGGTGCTGATTTCACACTTGCTTAGCATGGTATAAAGATGTCTGAAGGAAGTTGGTCAGAGGCGGAGGCAATCCACTGGGGCATAAGGCTTGAAGGCCTCAAAAAAAAAAAAAGGCCCTCCTTCCCTCAACCTCCCCCAAAAGAAAAAGCTTTTTCTTTTTAAAAGTCTCTTTCTGAATGAAGTTTTCTTAGGAAAATCCATGGCAGCTATACGATTCAAGACGGCCCCTTGGATTCCTGTTATAGCTTAACATATGCTCTCCCCTATTCCATTTGTGCCCTTCCTTATTTGTTTCCCTGGAGAGTTCCATACCGTCAAAAAGATTTAGAGCTAGAAGGGACCTTAGAGATAATTCAATCTAACTTTCTCATTTTACAGAGGTGGAAAATGAGCCTCAGAGTTTGTGACTTGTCCAAGAAAGCAACTCTCTGCTAGGATTCATTCATTCATTCAACAAACATATTATGTACAAATCCGTGTATCTGGCACGGGATATCAAAGAAATTACATTCTCATGGGGATGTGAAGGTCTAAGAAGTGCTTCTATGCAAAGATCTGTATAATTCAAAGCAGGGAGTGGGGGTTGGGGTGGGGCAAAGCAGAAGTCCTAAACAAAGTACTCCAAAGAGCACTTTGCAGTGGAGGTGATTAGGAAAGGTTTTTAAGATGGAAGGTGGTGCTTGATTGGATCTTTGAATGAGGGTAATGACCCTCAAAGGAGGGCCCGGAAGATGAATAGGGAAATGCACAAAAAATGCACCAAGGCAGATGATCTAACAGCTGGCAAAAAAGCAAGGGGTTTGTGTTTTTATTGTAAGGGCAAAAGGGAGCCACTGAAGATTTTTGAGCACAGGAAGAGGGGCATTGTTAGACCTCTCCCCTAATAGAATCCTCCCCTTGAAAGTGGAAAGTACAGTGGCTAAGCACAGTTCCCGGTAGAGTATGTACTTTATAAATGTTTGTCAATTAGGAAGATTATTTGATAAGAGTGTAAGAGATTGGGAGGGGCCAAGACTTTAGGCAAGGAAACCAATTAGGCCATTGTAGTAATCCAAACAGTGATGAGGAGCCCAAAGTAGGGTTAGTAGCAGGTGGAGTAACTTGAATCCAGGACCTTTGACTTCAAATATCATGCTTTTTCCACTAAACCATGCCTGCCCCTCCCTAGGTTGCTAGTTCAGCTCCCTTTGGGCTGCAGTTTTTTTTCATTGGCTTTCCCTTGTTTTGAGTTCCCTGATGGTGTATAATAACATGTTTCCTGTACTGCTTTGAGGTTTATAAAGTGCTTACCTCATCACAGTCTGGTGGAAGAAGTAGTCCATGTGATTATTCCCATTTTATGGATGAGGGAAAATGACTGGCCTGCCTTTACAAAGTCACCAAGAGGCAAGTGTCCTGCCATTCAGGTGTTACAGAGCAATGAGGCCCCGGATGTATAGTCCCCACACTTCAGTTCAAATGCTAGTTTTTCTATTCATTGCCTCTGGGGGCTTGGACACCTCCCTTCCTTTCTCTGTAAAACAGCAGGGGAGGGGCAGGAGGACTGGACTGGACTCCTAGTGTTAGAATGGGCCTTCGTTGTCATCTGCTCCAATCCTCTGTCCTTTCAATAGGGGAGGAAATTTGGTCCCAGAGGTTAGGACCTGCCCAAGGTCATCCAGGTAGGATTTGAAACTAAGTCTTCTGACATCATGGCACATTCTTTCCTCTGCATCACAAGTATGGGTTTGATGGGCTCCAAAGCCCCTCCCAGCCCTAAATTCTGGGAAACCATGGTATGAGTGTAATCAGCGCTTCTCTAATGTCTTAAAGATAGTGCAGAAAGGCCCAATAGTCCAGATTCCTGGGCTTACCGGCCATGCTGAGGTTATCTGGGCCTCAGTGAAGGGGGGTGGTGGGGGTGGGGGTGGGGGTGGGACATCCTTTAAAGCCTCGAGAGAGGAGTGGTTCGCTGGGAGCCTCACCCTGCCTCTCTGCCTCTTCTTTCCCCAGGGGAGAAGCCGTTCTCCTGCACGCACTGCAGCCGAGCCTTTGCTGACCGCTCCAACCTCAGGGCCCACCTGCAGACCCACTCGGACGTCAAGAAGTACCAGTGTAAAAGCTGCTCTCGGACTTTCTCTCGAATGTCCTTGCTCCACAAGCATGAGGAGGCAGGCTGCTCGGGTTCCCGCTGAAAGATTGCATATTGAGGGAGGTCCCGGGCACAAGGTGCCCCACCACGGCCTGAAGTCTCCCTTTCTCCCCTGCCAGCAACCCTTCCCAAGTTGTGAAAGAGCCAAGTGAATATTTGCCATTATGATTTTCAAGGGGGAAAAAAAGCTTCTATAGGAAATTGCTCCCCTGTGTTAACTCCAGCTGCGGAGCAACATCCCATGCCACCCCACACACTCTCCCTCCACCCACCTTCCCCCGCCCCAACTTGCTGCTTCAGTCCTTAATGAAAGGAACTGGTGACAATTTTCCTCCGCCCCCTCCCCCACCCCACCCCCTTTTGGACTCTGTCTTTTTTTTTTTTAAAGGCCGTTCGGGCATTTCCTGACTGTAGTTCACAATTTGAACCGTGACAGTTGTAGCTGGTGTCTGAAATGTCGCTTACAGTCAGTCTCATGGGGATGTTGTCAGCCTCCTCCAGTGAGGGGGGTGTGGAGGGGAGGAGTGATTTTTTTTTTCCTTTTTCTTCTTTTGGTGCTTTTAAACCAAGTCTGCTGGACACTATTCCTATTCAAAATCCTACAAATTTCAATGCCTCACCCCCTTCTGCTAAGATGAAGGACAAAAAAAGCAATCAGGGGGTGTCCCAATGAACCTTCAGGGTGGGTTCTGAGGGTCTGTCTGCTTCTATCTGGAGGAAGTCACTATATGTTCTAAAGGTGTAACTATGCACTTGGCCAGCCATGGTCCAGCTGCCAGCCACAATGATGGACCCGTGGGATGCCTGGGCCATTGACAACCTCCCCAAGAAGCATGAGGAGCCATTTCAAGTCTGAATCCCTATTTCTAGGATAGTTCTTAGCTGGAGCACCTGTTAATATGACTAATAGTAAGCACTTGTCAAGCCATACAATAAGGGGGCTGTGCAGGGCCTGGCCCACTGACAGGTGTGTCCTCAGCTATTTATGGTGCCAGACAGGTGCACCAAGTAGGGATCTCTGCCTGTTATTTTTTTTTTCACATACTCAGAAGATGTTTACATTTCAAAGGTACACTGGTATTTATATTTTTATGCCACATTTTGTACTGATGAAACATTTTTATAATTATATACACACAATTTATTGATATTCAATAAAGTGCTTAATTTATAAAAATAAGTAATCACATGGATGATCTGGCTTTGATTTCAAAATATGCTTTCAAGGATTAAAAAGGCAAGTGAGTACAGATTATCTGAGGTGAGAAAGGGGACAGCTGGTGGAAGAGGCCCTTTCCTCTACTGCCTCCCCACCATCTTTTGTTGGTTTGGAAATGGTCTGTAGAGTTTGAAGGAAAGAGCTTTGGGATCAGAAAAACTTTCTAGTCCTAGCCCCCTAGTTGGCAGGGAATTGGGGGCAGTGATGATGGAGGAGCTTGTGCAGACATATGTTTCCCAAATAGGCTACAGTAGATCCACTCCTCCCCCATCCACTTTATTCCAGAACTACAGGTCGATGAAGCTCTAATCTATCCCTTGAAAGGAAAACATACTGTTGACTTTTGACCTTTGGTGGATACAGGAAAGGTTTTCCTTCCCCAGCTCCCATCTACATCTCATTCAGGGCCTCTGGAATTTGTCATTAAAAGGCATGAAGTTGAGGGTGGTATGGGAAGAAAGGTCTATTATTCCCTAAAATCCACTGTAGGAATGTGGTCTTCCAGGAAGGAGGAAGACAAAAAACCTTCTTTGAAGGTCTCCCTCTCTATACACAGAAAGAGCTCCTTGTGGGATGGACCTTGGCTGAACCACCTCCTGGGTGGTGATAAGCATAAAATGTCTTTTGATGGGAGGAAACTGGATGAGATCTGTGCCTTGGAGGAAGTAAGGTTGAGTTACAGAGGCTAGGGTCTCTCAGTTTTCTGTTTCCAGAGTCAAGAGAGAAGGGTTATCTCCACCAATGGAATATAATTTTTTTGTTTTGTTTTTATTTCTTCAATATTTAAAAGCACATATGAATTAACAAAAAAAAAGCATCTATTAAGCACCTACTTTGTGCAAAGCACTGTGCTAAGTACTAGGGATATACAAAGAAAGACAGTCCCTGCTCTCAGGGAGTTCACTTTTTAATGGGGAAAAGATACCTAGAAGGTCAGATGGAAAGGTCCCATGATCCTTTGGCCACAGCAGTAAAGCAGATAACACCTCTTCTTCAATGCCATTTCCACTGATAAAAGACCCATCACTTTCTGATGTTGAACAGTTTAACATGCCAAGGACTCTGGGGTGACAAGTTTCTTTTCTGGGTCTTTCATAGCTGTGACTATAGAATTCTCAGAAGAAACTGCCAGGCTGCATTTCCACAGGTGCTGCTTCCTTTGATGATGGGTTTGGGGACTGGGCTGGAATCAGGACTGTTGAGCTGATGGATTTGTCATGTTCAGAGTTGATGGGCTTACCTGCCAGTTGGTGGCAAACAGCCATCAGTTGATGGTGATGGTGGCAAGGAAAGTGAGCTCCTTCTTCACAGTGATTGGTCCCTTCACTGATGGGTGTATTAATTAGTTCAGGGGCCAGAAGCGAATTGTTATTCCCCAGGCTCTAGGATTCTGGGTCCTGGGCTATCTCCATTGGACTCCAAAGGGAGGTGTCGGCTGAGGTCATAGTGGTAGTGTGACTCACCTACCATATGCTGACTCTCTTGGTTCTGGCTATCCCCCTTGCCTGGAAAGCTCTTCTTTCTCCTCTCAGGATCCTGGCTTCCTTTGAGTCCCAGCTAAACCCCCACCTTTCATAGGAAACCTTTCCCAATCCCTCTTCAATCTAGTGCCCTCCCTTAGATTATTTTTTATTCATCCTGAGAGGCTTGTTTGCACATAGTTGTTTGCGTGTCTTCTCCCCAATCAGATTGTAAGCTCCTAGAGGGCAAAGATTGTCTTTCCCCTTTCTTTTTATCTCCAGCACTTAGTACAATGCATAGCATCTAGTAGGCCTTTAATAAATACTTATTGACTGATTGACTATCTCTCTCAAGGTGCCTTGCTGCTTCAACTAGGTTGGCTTACCTGTAGGTACTTAATATTATTGAATTGAATAGAAATATTCAATAGTAGCAAAATTTGGTGGGGAAAACATTGGATTTGGGGTCAGAAGACCTCCATTTGAGTGCTTGCTCTGGCACTTAGAGCTGTTACCTTGGGTAAACTATTTCATCTCTGACCTTAGTTTGCTTATCCATAAAATGGGGATGATAATTCTTGAACTACCTAGTTCACTGGGGTGTTGGAATAAAAAAGTGCTATTCTAAGTGTTAACTGCTGTTAATAGAGGGCAACTTTAGGGATAGCTTGTGTCCTCACCTTGGGTTCTGCTGCTTCTTGTCAAAAAGGACATTCCTTTCAAGGGCCTCATCACTCAGTCTCCATTTCCATCTTTCCTAGTCTACCTTTAATGGACTTGAGCCTTCTCACTTCCTTATATTCTTGGGATTTTGAGCTAGAAAAGATCACCTAATCCAACCCCTTCAATCTTATAAAGAGACTGAGGCCTAATGAGGTCTGGTGACTTGTCCAAAGTCACATTAAGTAGCACAAGCAGGATTCAGATGTTGTCTGACTCTTCGTGACCCCATTTGGGATTTTCTTGGCAAAGATACTGGAGTCATTTGCCATTTCCTTCTCCAGCTCATTTTACAGATGAGGAAACTGAGGCAAACAGGGTTAAATGACTTGCCCAGGGTCACACAGCTAGTAAGTGTCTGAGGTCAGATTTGACCTCAGGAAGATGAGTCTTCTTGACCCCAGGGCAGGTATTCTATCCATTGCACTACCCAGCTACCCTTCAGATTCTGGTGCCCCTCATGAACTTGTTTCTAAAAAATATTTTGGGGGCAGCTAGGTGGTGCAGTGGCTAGAGCACCCTGGCCCTGAAGTCAGAAGGACCTGAGTTCAAATGTGGCCTCAGGCACTTGACACTTACTAACGGTGTGACTCTGGGCAAGTCACTTAACCTTGATTGCATTCCCTCCCCCCCCCAAAATAAAAAAATAAAAAATATTCTGATAACTGAACTTCAATATATTTGGTTTCCTTTGTAATCCTATATGCATTTTATTCTGTGAATGTAAAAACATAATCACGAGAAGGGGCTCACAGGCTTCACTAAAATGCTAGAGGGGTCCAGATGCAGCAAGGCGAAGAGTTCCTGGGGTTCTGCTCCAGGGCTTGCTAAATCTGCAATCTTAAGGGCGCTCGTGATCTGTTTCAGCTCTAGAAACTCTGAAACCCAGGTCTCCTCCTCCCTCTCAGTTCAGTTCTCTGCACCGAATGAAACCAGCGTGTCTCCTGATGGGCCCACCCAGTTCAAACCAATCCTCCCTTAGGGGGAGTCTCCGCTTCCCTTCCCCCAACCTTTAGTATTTAGGAAGGGGAGGGGAGGTGGTTTTTTTTTCTTCTTAAAACAGGAAATGGTGAAACACAAGCAAGAAGTAGATCTTAATGACTTGCACATTTCATCCATAAAAATCCCCAGATTCCCAAGCCTTGGCAACGTGTGAATGAGGTCCTCAGGGGCGGGGCCACCCTAGGGAGCAGAGGAAGCTGAGGTAGACCTGGTTAATCCTCTTACCCAGCGGGCGTAGCACCTCAGGGGACCTCCTCCTGTCCTGGGCACTGAACCTGTGCAGGTCGAACAAGATCCTATCCCTGCTCTCTGCGAGCTTTGCTTCATGGAACTGTCAAAGGTTAAAGCTAATAGGGACCTTAGAACTTGGAGTGTCCGAACTGGAGTCCATAGGACATCAGAGACCTCTTACTGGAAGCCTTTGCTTATCACCATGCATAGTACTCTCTCTCCTCGAATAATCATGCATGTGTGTATCTGCTTAAGTATTACATAGAACTGATGCCCTTTGACAGCAGGGAGTGTTTTTCTGTTTTGTCTTTTATCCCCAGTGCCTGACACAATGCTTGGCATGTAGGTAGGTGCTTAATAAGTGCTGATTGAATGGAAGTGAACTCTCAGTGTTCTTTGATCAGAGGGTGTCAGAGTTTTCAAAGGAACTTTGTTGTTGTTGTTCAGTCATTTTTGATCGTGTCCTACTCTTTGTGATCCCATTTGGGATTTTCTTGGCAATATAGATACTGGAGTGGTTTGCCATTTACAAATGGGGAAACTGAGGCAAACAGGGTTAAGTGACTTGTCCAGGGTCACACAGCTAGCAAGTATCTGAGGCTGATTTGAACTCAGGAAGATGAGCCTTCCTGACTTCAAGTCCAGCGCTCTATGCACTGGGCCACCTAGCTGCCCTTCAAGGACCTCGGGATCAACTAGGGCAACCCCCTCGTTTTACAGAAGAAATGATAGGAAATGACTTGTCAGTAAAGGGCAGAGCCAGTATCTGAAACCATGTGCTCTGACTCCTAGTGTTCTTTAAAAAAAGAAAGAAAGAAAGGAAGAAAGAAAGAATTAAATAATAATTAACAAAAACCTATTTTCTCTCCCATCCTCCACCTAATTTGGAAAAATAAAAATAAAAACAAAATCCTTGTAACAAATATACATATATCAAGCAAAAGAAATTCCTTCATTGACCATGTCCAAAAAAATGTATGTCTCATTCTGTGCTCTGAGTCCATGACCTCCCTCTCAAGAGGTATGGATATCAACACTAGAATCATGGGATGGTCATTGTATTGATCAGAGTTCTAACAGCTTTCAAAGTTGTTTGTTTTTACATTGTTATTGTAAAAAATTGTTCTGGTTCTGTTTACTCTGTGTCAGTTTATATATGTCTTTCCATATTTCATTGGAATCATCTGTTTCCCCATTTCTTGTGGCACAATAATATTCCATTACATTTGTATACCACAATTGAGCCATTGCTCAATTGATGGGCACTGTCTTAGTTTCTTTTTTTTTTTTTTTGCCAACACAAAAAGAGCTACTATAGGTATTTGTGTACATATAGGACCTTTTCCTCTTTCTTTAGGTATAGACTCAGCAGTAAATGGCCGGGTCAAAGGGCATGCACTGTTTAGTAACTTGTGTATGCAGTCATTCTAAATTGCTTTCCAGAATGGTTGGACCCATTTACACCTCCACCAAGAGTGTATCAATATGTCTGTT